TGTGAGTAACTTCAAATTAGTTATTTGGCAAGTTGTACAAGGACTGATTTTAAAATGAGTGAAAAAGCAGCCTCTGACAGAGCTTTGGAAAGCCCGGAGAACTTTTGATAAAGACCACTTCTGAAAAATACGGCTACTGCGGCTTCATCTAATGCAGATCTATAATACCTAGGAATTATCAAGCTGATAGAAACGGACTGATGTACCCGGTGTCCTGCTGCAGATGCAGAGTGATCCACTGCTCTGCTTTTATTTTTATTAACAGATTTTCTTTTTCATTTTTTACTTGTGTGACTTATCTTCTGGTTGTGTTGCTTCTTGGTTTAACATTTGTGTGCTGAACACATTTTTTGAAGTGCATAGTGAGTAAAGGTATTCACTGTACCTTCATCTTACTCTGGTGTTCCAGCTGAGTGGTATTCTCCTGCATTCGAGCAAGCTCCAGAGCTTCTTTGGCATGTCCTACACACACACACACACACACAGAGATGAAGATGCATGTAGTTGCTTCAAAGCGTTATGTTTGTGAGGCCTGCTGTCTTTGCTGATCCCTGTGACTGACTGTATCCACCTTTGAGTCTTAACTACCAAACAACAGCCCTGAATGAATGAATGAAATCATTATCAATAATCAAATAATAGTATGTGTTGCATCGTTGCACACGTGTGTGTGTGTGTTAGAGGGTGAGGTCTGGATGTTCTGAGCCGGACTGCAACGTCCGTGACCTTTGAACTCTGTTCTCTCTCTGGATGAAGGTGGATGCAGCTCAGTTCCGTAAGCCTAACTTCACGTGAGTTAAACCTTTAGTATTTATACCGGTGCTGGATGTCGGTGAGGGCCTCTTCAGCTACACTGAGGCGACCACCACCGTCACCGTGAGCCAGAGAGCAGCAGATGTTGGTGCAGCTCTGCTCTCCAACAGCAGCCGTGTTTGTATAATCTGTACACACCTCCTCTAAGGAGACCCACCCGAAGCCCTTGAATACTTACGGGACATGTCGAGCTCCTTGGCCGCCTGAGCAGCCCGCTCCAGCCCGGTGGGATCGAAGTTGCTCCATTTGTCCTTGGGTTTATCTCCACCGCCGCTGGAGCCCCCGGCCGGCGGAGGTGGCGGCGGTGGAGGCTGTGCCGGTAAACCGGGAGGCACCTCCGGCTGTCCCTTGTTCAGGCCGAACAGCCACGACATTTCGCCGAGAACAAATAAAGCACCGTTAAACCGGTTCTGTTGGACAGAGGATAGCAGCCGCAGGTCTGTCACTACGCTTCCTCCACACGCGTGTCACGCCGAAAGCTTCTGCGCATGCGCACCAAACAGCTCAAGGTTTAGCTGAATAATCGCAGCCAGGATTGGCTCAGAACAAGTACTTCTCCTTCTGATTGGCGCTCAACGTAGTAGTCCTCAGCAGAGGTCATTGACGTAGCCCCGCCCACACTCGATACGGTAGCCCCGAAGGATCATAAAGCATACACTTCACTCGAAAGGACGTTTACCCCGGTTTCATCAGGCTGTTTCTGTTTTTGAAAGTCATTGAAGTGTCAGAGGATTGTTTCCAGGTTTTCTATATCAAATCTATTTTTGATTTACTTAAACTTCAAATCTAAAAATTTAAAGCAAACACTCTGCACTGAAAACAATCTCCTCACTTCAGTTTTAACCTTCTGTTTTCCAACAACTTCATGCTCCAGAGCAAGAGTGGGCAATTTATGTTCCCAAGGGGCTACATGAGAAGCTGCTGTGCAGGCCCACACCAATAAGTTGTAAGAAGATAAAATAAACATTGAGCAGAACCGAGTTCAGCTTATTGTTGATCAGGACAAAAGTAAATAAAATCCTTAAAATAAAAAAATCTGATGAAAGACAGCAAACCAGAATATATATCAAAAATGTTTAATGAGCTAAACATTTGGAGGACAACCGACCCACAAAAGGTGGTAAAACACATATTTACACAGAAACAAAAAAAGGCCAACCTTAAAAAACAAACAAAAAGAAAAACTTTCAGTCATAACTCAAGGTTGCATATGATAAACAGGTTTATGGAAATCATAACAAGACCATGTGTGAAGACACTGGAGGTAATCAGGAGGTGACACCACATGTTGGCAACACATTCCTGTTTTAGGAAGTTTAAGTTTACCTCCTGCCAGGGATTCTGTGCAGCCATTGATAAATACCAGTGAAAGTTGGATTTACGGGTTTTATACATGAAGTTCGTATGAAGAACACAATCAGAGACACTGATCTCGAAGTTCAGGAGTCAAAATACTGCACACATAATGATCTGCGCTGCTGTAGGCAAGTTTACTTCAGGAATGATACACTGTTGGTACTATTTTAAAAATCTCTCCAAAAATAATTTCTACGAGAGACCAGTGGAAAGCTCGTTAACATGAGACTCCTTATTGACTTGTTCAAATATAAAGCCAACAAGAAGCACAGGACCAGCAGAAGTGTCACAAAACCGATTACTTTTTGATCGGCCTGTAAAATTCCTGTTTTTCCCCAAACAGACAACCTGTGTTACAGCTCGAATTCAAGCCGGATCTCTGATCGAGCGATCATGAATCACCACACACAAATGCAATTCTTTAAACGAATCATACAAGAAGCACATTTTGATGAAATCCTAAAATGAGGTGTCTGTGTCAGTTCAATTTTTTTTAAATAAACGCTGTTCTTTAACCCCCCCCCCCAAAAAAAATAATCATTTATCCATAACTGTGGCAAGTCCTTTACTGCAGCATAACTACACGGGAGAGCACACCAGAAGGCTCTTTGCCGTCACCCAGTGCTGCCCTGAAGCCTTCTTGTTGCCGAGCCCTTGCCAGTTTTGCAAGTGAGAGGAACGACCGAGGCTCTGTAACGGCCAGATCACTGATGACGCGACGGTTGAGCTGGACGCTGCTCTATATGGTGAGAAAAAGGAAGAGTGAGCCAACAGAATTTTTAAAAATACATGAGCTGCAAAACTATCTAGTAAAACCAACCTTAGTCAGATTGTGCATGAGGGCGGGATATTTCATGCCGTGCTCTCGTGTTGCTGCAGCAATCCGTGAGATCCAGAGCTGATGAATCAAGGGGACAACGCACAGGATCAATTATACTGAAGCAAACTGATTTCTAATCTTACACACACCAATCAGCTGCAATATTAAATCCAAAAAGAGGAAGTGAACAACATCCTGTTATACTGCAAAGTTCTGCTGGGAAGTGCACAGCAGTGGCCTCACCCAGCCAGAGAACACCCCCCAACACACTACAAAAATTGCTCAGGAACAGCTCGATGATCAGGACAAAGAGCCCAAAGTGCTGACCTGACTTCAAATTCTCCCAATTTAATCAAAATAAGTCAGCAGCATGGAGCAGAACTGAGGTTTTAGAATAGAATAGAATAGAATGACTTTATTGTCACTATACAGATGTACAATGAGATACATGGGGGGGTGCACAGTTTCTGCAGCACTATATGCATATGAGCAGTATTTACAGGAAAAAATATAAAGTGTACAAAAAATAAATAGTGTTATGTATATACAGTTTGGGTTATTGCACAGTGGTGGTTTATCCTTGAAATGGGGGGTGGAACTGTGTTTATCAGTGCATGTGTGGACATGGAAGGAGTGCTTCCAAGTTGTTCACACCAAATTCTGACCCTACCATCCAAATGTCATGGCAGAATTCAAGATGCATCAGACCAGGTGTTTTTGATCTTCTGCAGTGAAATTTTGCTGAACCTGTGCAAATTATAGTCTCAGTTTCTTGCTCTTAGTGGACAGGACCCCCTGTGGTCGTCTTCATTTAGATATCCTCTAACCCTTGATTGTAATGCGAGGTGATTTTAGTTAATCTCGCCTTCCTATCGCCTCAGGCGAAGGACTTTCACACAGAGAACTGCCGCTCACTGCATTGTTTCCTCTTGGGGTTTTTTGGACCCTTTTCTGTAAACCCTAGAGATGGTTGTGTTGGAAAATCCCAGCAGCTCAACTGAAATATTCAGACCA